GCTGGCCTGGAACTCACTATGTAGACCAGGCAGGCCTTGAACTCAGAGATCGGCTTGCCTCTGCCTCCTAAGTGCTGGGACTACAGGCGACCGCCACCAAGCCCAGCTATTTATTTTTATTTTATGTGTATGCATGTATTGCCTGCATGTAGGTAAGTGCACCCTTGTCATGCAGTGTCGGCAGAGGTCAGAAGATAGTTGCTAACTGCCATGTGGGTGCTGGGATTTGAACCCAGGTCCTCTGCAAGAACAACCAGTGTCCTTAACTGCTGAGCCATCTCTCTAGCCCCTAATTCGGCATTTTCAACCAAAGTTTTTGGACCAGGTTTATCTTAATGTTTGTTAACAAAGAGCTATGTCAGTAGACTGAATACCAATTTCTTGACAACATTTTGATAAATACTAATTATAACCCAGTTCAGTTTCCAAAGATTGTTCTAACTGGAGTTTAGTTTTGAAGATGCAATTGATATTCAGGAATTGTCTCAGTTTTACCTGAATGAGTAATTTTTTTTTTGGTCTTTTTGAGACAGGGTCTCCCTGTAGCCCCAGCTGACCTAGAACTCGCTATGTAGACCAGGCTGGCCTTGAACTCACAGAGATCCACCTGCCTCTGCCTCCCAAGTGCTAGGATTAAAGGCGTGTGCCACCATGCCCAGCCTTTTTTTGGTGTCTTTTTAAGACAGTGTCTCCCTGTAGCCCCAGTGAGTTCCAGGCCAGCTGTAGCTACAGGGAGACCCTGTCTCAAAAAGCAAAGTGTGTGTGGTGCACTGGATAGATAGCTCAGCCCTTAAAAGTACTGGCTTCTCTTGCAAAGGACCCAGGTTCTGTTCCTAGCATCCTCATGGTAACTAACAGTCACCCAAAACTCTAGTTCCAGAGGGTCTGATGCCCTCTTCTGGCCTCTAGGGGCATCGCACAACATGTGTGCACCTAAATACACGCAGGCAAAACACTTATACATAAAATAAATTAATTTAATCTATTTTATTTTTTTGGTCTTTTTGAGACAGGGTCTCCCTGTAGCCCCAGCTGGCCTGGAACTCACTACGTAGACCAGGCTGGCCTGGAACTCAAAGAGATTTGCCTGCCTCTGCCTCTCGAGTGCTGGGATTAAAGACATAAAATAAATTTTTAAAAATTTTAAATTGAGCCGGGCATGGTGGCGCACGCCTTTAATCCCAGCACTCGGGAGGCAGAGGCAGGAGGATCTCTGTGAGTTCAAGGCCAGCCTGGTCTACGTAGTGAGTTCCAGGACAGCTGGGGCTACAGGGAGACCCTGCTTCAAAAAGACCAAAAAAAAAAAAATTAAATTAAAAAAGGGGGCTGGGCTGGGTGTGGTGGCACACACCTTTAATCCCAGCACTTGGGAGGCAGAGGCAGGTGGATCTCTGTGAGTTCAAGGCCAGCCTGGTCTACATAGTGAGTTCCAGGACAGCTGGGGTTACAGGGAGACTGTCTCAAAAAGACCAAAAAAAAGGGGGGGTATGTGGCTGGAGAGATGGCTCAGCGGTTAAGAACACTGGTTTTTCTTGCAGAAGATCCGGCTTCTAATCCCAGCACCCACATGATAGCTAACAACTGTCTATAACTCCAGTTCCAGGGGATCTGACAGCCTCTTTTGTCCTCCGCAGGCATTGCACGACACGGGTGTACTCACATACATGGAGGCAATCATACACATAAAATAAAAACAAAAAGTATTTTTAAAATATATACTAAAAAAATTTTTTTATGGCGTACGCCTTTAATCACAGCACTCTGTGAGTTCAAGGCCATCCTGGTCTATATAGTACAGCTGGGGCTACAGGGAGACCTTGTCTCAAAAAAATAAAATTTTTTTTTTTTTTATTTAGGGCTGGAGAGATGGTTCAACGGTTAAGAGCACTGACTGCTCTTGCAGAGGACCTGGGTTGATTCCCAGCACCCACATTGTGGCTATAAACCATCCTTAATTCCAGTTCCAGGAGAATCTGACACCCTCTTCTGACCTCCAAGGGCATTGCACCACATGGGTACACTCACCTACATGCAGGCAATACACACATACACATAAAAATAATAAAATATTTTATATATATATTTATTATTTTTATTTTATGTGTATGTGTGTATTGCCTGCATGTAGGTAAGTGCACCCATGTCGTGCAGTGCCCATGGAGGACAGAAGAGGCTCTTGGATCCCCTGGAACTGGAGTTACCGACAGTTATTAGCTGTCATGTGGACGGTAGGATTTGAACCCGGGTCCTCTGCAAGAACAACCAGTGTTCTTAACCGTTGAGCCATCTCTCCAGCCTTTTATTTTTATTTATTTATTTTTTATCCTTTTGAAACAGGGTCTCCCTGTAGCCCCAGCTGTCCTAGAACTCGCTATGTAGAACAGGCTGGCCTTGAACTCACAGAGATCTGCCTGCCTCTGCCTCCCAAGTGCTGGGACTACAGGGGTGTGCCACCACGCCCAGAGAGCCTTTTATTTTTTAAGACAGGTTTCATTAGGTATCTGACTGTCCTTGAGCTCACAATGTAGCCCAGGTTTCCGATGCCCTCATAGTTTAAGTAATCCTGCCAATGCTGACATTATAGGCATGATCCACAACACCTCACTGTAAAGTTTGCTTTGCTGTCTAAGGTGAGGAAGGTACAAGAAAACCTTTTAGAGGCTGTAGCACTTCATTTGCTTTCCCTATTTGATATCCTAGATTTTTTTTCTTTATCCAGATATGAACAGTTAATAAGGCTTTTTTAGAAAGTTATATTATACTTTGAGACCTGTTTTTTGCTTTGTTTTTGAGACAAGAGTCTTATCTGTAGATTAGTATGGCCTTCAGAGTTGTGAACTGTGTGTGGGGGTGTGTATGGATGTACAGTTTTGCTAGTCCAAGTGGCCACATGTGGAGGCCAGAGATTGATATCAGAATATTTTCCTCTGTTGCATCTTCACTTTATTTTTTGAGTCAGGATTACTCACTGAACCTGGAGATTGCTGATTTGTCGAGAATGGACAGCAAGCCCTCTGCCCCAAGGGGATCTGACTGTCTCTGGTTCCCATACCCAACCCCTACCACTATGGTTCCAGACTTGCACTGTCCTGCCTGGCTTTTATATGAATATTGGGCATCTGAATTCAGGTCTGTATGTTTCTACTGAGCCATTTCCCCGCTCGTGGTCCTGCCCTGATCCTCCTGTTTCAGACTACCACCAAGTACTGGGGTTATAGTCTTCCTCTCACTATAGTTTTGTAGTACAGGGGATCATACGCAGGGCTCTGTGTATGCTAGGCAAATATTCTACCAACTAACCTATGTCTCCAGATCTAGTTTGTCTGTTTTCTTGTCTGGTTTATGTAATCAGTAATTTGAATGGTGCAGTAGTTGAGATTCCCCAAAGAATTTTTTCCCAGGAGACAAGAGTCTATGTATAGACCTATTAATGGGTGTATCTGCATTCATCTCCAGATACCATTTAAAGGGCTTGGAAACACTCAAATTTATCTT